TAGACACTCCAGATTTGACCTAATCGGCAGCAAGGACCAGGTGTTCGGCAGGAAGGTCCTACGAACAAAGGGCCCACCCTAGAGCATGTATTTCTATTCTACTCCTCTCAAGTGAGCTGTCCTAGAAGATGACTCGGGAAAACGCAGTTATTTACCTGTTAACTGTATTTCCAGGAATCTTCTAGGACAGCGTAACTCCCTCCCGATTGCTGTGTGATTATGTACTAGGGTTTCGTCATGCTTGAAATCGTCATTGTGTCTCTACTACCATTTTTATGCTTTCTCCTAGGCCTTCGGTCATATTCTTATACTGAGGGTCCCCTGGGAGAGAGGCTACTTATAGAGGAAAAAGGTGGAGCGGGTGTTTCCTGGGAGGAGCCTATCTCTCAAGTGAGCTGTCCTAGAAGATTCCTGGAAATACAGTTAACAGGTAAATAACTGCGTTTTCCATGCTAAGTGGTGTGGGAAAGGGATCTTCAAAGTTCCTTCACACGAGATGAATGGGAGACTGCCATGGGTAGCAATTTGAGCATCACTAACTGTACCAACCACTGGGAATGTTCCCTGAAATTACTGCATCAAAGCTACTTTACCCCATATAAGTTATCTAAAATGTGCCCCAACATTTCTCCATTTTGTTGGAGTAATTGTGGTGGTGAAAGGAATATTCTCTATATTATGTGGAAGTGTCCTCGCCTACAGCTGTTTTGGCAAGAGGTTTTTGCTCTTATTTCAAGGGTGTCGGGCACAACATCCAAACGAACACCGGCTTTAGCCCTACTTAATCACGTTGAACCTTTTCCCGGGTAATTATAGAACCATAATAGGTCATATCCTTATTGCCACTAGACTGGCTATTTCCACTAAATGGAAATCAACCAATATTCCTTCTAGTTTAGAAGTGAATCACCGAGTACAGACACATTATGTATGCGAGAGAGCCTTAGCAGTTACCCATCAATCTATGGGGAAATTTGAAATAAAGTGGTCCCAATGGAACAAGATTTTCGTCAAATAACAGTATTGTTTAGAGTTGAGTGAGAGACGGTCCTAAATATTAAGATGCGAGCTCTGTTATCTTCTCCCTGTGACGGGTGCGGTGTCAGACCCCTGACCTTCTCACCAAACTCGTGACCGAAGGACTAGCCAATCTAACACCGCGATGTCTCGGGCGTAACAATGCCATGCCCAGTTGCACCCTGCACACCGATTTTCCAGCTAATTGGACCACAATAGACGTACCTGCAGCCTGGGAGCGTTTGCTACTGGGTCAGGTTAATTCCGCAATTAACCCTTCACACTGCCACCTCTCCCCAGGGAAAGGGGAAACTCAGCGATACACTAGGATTGGTTACTCGTCGGTATACCGCTGTCTCCACAGGTTATACAGAGGGTTAAACACTCATAGTAGCGCTCTTTAGCAGCAGGGATTTGTAAGTCACATTAAAGGGCTATAGAAACAGTTCAACACTTTCCGAGTAAGATTTATTACTAAAAGGTCAAAAGGGTGCAGTGTATGTGTTGATGAGACGGGGATCAGAAGTTTAAAGGGTTAAAGTGCTTGCAGGCAGGGGGCTTAGCATCATACACTGATTGCATTCCTGAAGGAGGGGGAAATGATGGGGGATAACATGAAGATTTCTTCAGAGTGAGAACCGTGCCTGGCTCTTGTGTCCAAGACTGCTACACCCCCCCCCCCCCCCCCCCCCCCCTTCAAGTGATAGCATAGGAGTTTAAAAGAAATACCAAAATACAGACGTTTTGAGCAAAATGGAGAACCGCACCTCTCCCTGTGTGCATGATTGTGACACTCCCCCTTAGGGTTGCTTTGCTTCATACTTTTTCCTCTTACCTCCTGGTACCTTTGTTTGGTTCTTCTTTTCCTTATTTGTTATACAAATATCCTTAAGAGGTTTGGTGCAGATGGGCCTGTACATCCGTGTTTACTATGATTTAATGTTCAGTGAAGTAATATGCAAGTACAGTATGTTATGTGTAACCATTTGGATTGGACGTGTAACCTCCATCTATTGCAATTTATAGTTGATGAATATTTTGTTCATGGCCAGTGGCCATCTTATATCTGCTATAGCAACATTAAGGCTGTATTTGGGATGTAGTGTTGAGCAAGGAATGTGTGTACCCAACTTCTAACCTGAACCTTGTATTTTTGTACTTTTTTTTTTTTTTCCTACAAATTTCTAATAAGATATAAAAAATTATTATATATACATACCTCTTTAATGAACAGCAGTGCAGTGGGGGTACACCTTAGACTCGAAAGACTAAGGTCTACCCTTAGACTCAAAGGTAGGTGGAATGTCTGGTATTGTGTATCACATTTATACCCATATTGTTGGGTACCATTGGATGGCCTTTTTTGTGTTTTTGGCTAAGCTGATTCGCGCATGTGCAGTGCGGATTGAAGCTCAGGTTTCACAGCTCATTGATATACAGTAGTTCAGTGGTTCAGGACAAGTTCAGGTCAGGATTTTATCCTGTTCGCAATGTGCGGTTTAGAAAGTTCCCATAGAAGTCACTAGCCTGTAATCTGCACCTGAACCAGACTGCACTGCTCAGAAATCGGACAAGACTTTTTCAATCCGCACTTCTAGTGCATTGGACATTTGAACAGGCACCATAGGAAGCAATGTGATTTTTGCATGTCATGTGGATTGGATGAATTTCAAATCGCATCCAATCAGCATTTACACTGCTCAAAAGATGAAAACACTTTAATCAGAGTATAACTTCAAGTCAAACTCCTGGGATATTTAATCTGGTCAGTCTAGTAGAGGGGGTTGTTAATCAGTTTCAGCTGCTTTTGTTAATGGTTTTAATGAAATTACAGGTGCACTAGATGGGTAAAAATGAGATGACCCCCAAAACAGGAATGAATTTACAGGTGGAGGCCATTGAATGACTTTTTTTTTTTTTTTTTTTTTACTCTTTTCTGACAGTTTTTCACTAGTTTTGCATTTGGCTAGAGTCAGTCACTACTGGTAGCATAAGGCAATACCTGGATCCTACAGAGGTTGCCCAGGCAGGATGGCACATCAATACGTGCCGTTGCCAGGTTTGCTCTGTCTCCCAGCCCTCAAGCATGGAGGAGATTCCAGGAGACAGGCAGTTACTCTAGGAGAGCTGGACAGGGCCGCAGAAGGTCCTTAACGCATCAGCAGGGCTGGTATCTGCTCCTTTGTGCAGAGAGGAACAGGATGAGCACTGCCGGAGCCCTACAAAATTACCTCCAGCAGGGCACTGGTCTGACTGACCAAGCAATCAAACATACTTCATGAGGGTGGCCTGAGGGCCTGACATCCTCTAGTGGGCCCTGTGCCCACTGCCCCACACCAAAAAGTTGAATTGGCATTTGCCATTGAACTCAAGAACTGGCAGGTCCGCCACTGGGGCCCTGTGCTTTTCACAGGTCAGCAGGTTCATCCTGAGCACATGTGACAGACGTGAAAAGGTTGGGAGAAGCCGTGGAGAACATTGTTCTGCTTGTGACATCATTCAGCATGACTGTTTTTAGATGGTGGGTCAGTGATGGTCTGGGGAGGCAAATCCATGGAGGGATGCACAGATCCCTACAGGCTAGACAATGGCACCCTGACTGCCATTAGGTATCGGACCCATTGTTGGACTCTATGCTGGTGCAGCGAGTCCTGGGTCCCTCTTGGCACACAATGCCTGGCCTCATGTGAGGGTATGCAGGCAGCTCCTGGAGAATGAAGAAACTGATACCATTGAATGGCCCCCACACTCACCTGATCTAAATCCAATAGAACCTCTGATGTCCATCTGACTCCACCAGGTTGCACCTCACTGTTTGGGAGCTTAGTTATGCCCTGGTCCAGATCTGGGAGGAAATACCCCAGGACCCCATTCGTTGTCTCATTAGGGGCATGCCCTGACGTCAGTCATGCATACAAGCACATGGGGGGCCATACAAACTGAGTACTATTTTGAGTTGCTGCAATGAAACTTCAGCAAAATGGACTAGCCTGCTGCATCGTTTTTTCACTTTGAAAATTCAGTCCTCTGTAGGTCAATTTTCAGACACCTTGAAAATCAAACTATGGGGCATCCTTGCATTCCTAACACATTACCCAGTCCATATTAGTAGTATAGATATCCAGCATATTTTTCCCTATTGAGGTCTGATGTGTTTTTCAAAGTGTTCCTTTAAATGTTTTTGAGCACTGTATGTGAATTGGCACTTGGGTCACTTGTTTCACATGTTGGCAGGCCTCATACAAATGGCAGGACTTGAATGTGTTCTGTATGCCATTGGTAAATGGCAGAGGCTCCAGCACTAGCCCTTCTCAATCTGCAAAGTGCAAGCAGATCTGAAGTAAGCAGGAGTTCATTTAGCTCCTATACTTGTCCATAAGTACTGGGCTCTATGCATTTAACCTCAATTACACTCCAACTTGCAGCAAAAAGGTGAAGTCATTGAACCAGTGTATTCAGAAGTCAACCACACTTTTGTTGTTTGGTATTTTTGTCAATAAGAGCACAGAGGTAACCACAGGACACCCCAATCTTCAGGTTAATGTTTGCCTTATCTTGTGTCTTCGATGTATGTTCTCCCAAATGGTACCTTTATGGTTTTTGTATTCTTTAACCATGAAACATTTTAAACCATTGGATTCTGAAACTTTAAAACCATTTACTTGAAGACTATACTTTTAGTGGTGGTGATTCTTTTGCCAAATACGCTAAGAGCAAGATTTATCCATCACAGAACCTTTTTAGTTCTTGCCTACTTACCCAAAATATAGTCCCATGGGATCTGTATTCCTAAATTTTAAGCATTTGTGCTTCAGCAAAGGTAATTGAGGAAAACCTGTGATTAACTGTTTAGAACTAGGTCTACATAAAACAAAGCTGCTCTAACGTATATGCTTTGTAAAGACAGTCACTTAAAAGTAGTTTTTTAAATTTGTGTACTGGTATATTCATAACTTCTACTCTTGTAGGTTCGTGTTGAGTTCATGGATGATACCAACCGCTCCATCATAAGAAACGTAAAGGGTCCTGTTCGTGAGGGAGATGTACTGACGCTGTTGGAATCTGAACGTGAAGCTAGAAGATTACGCTAACATGCCTTGTATGTAACCTTCAAATACATTTTAAAACGTAACTAAGTTTTAGTGAAGTTTAGTTTGCTTGCCAAGCTGATCCAAATGTAAGATTTACTTGACTAACCAATGCAGTGGTCTCAGTTGGTCTCAGTTGATTAAACAGTGTACGGTCTCATCAGGATGAGAACTTCGGTCCTGCTTCCGGAACAAATTCAGTACTCGGCCATTCACAGGAAGCTTTGCATTCAATGAATAGGAGTCTGCTTCTGGTTGTGATGTCCTCTATTCTCCTCTGCTCAGCCAATCCTCTCCTGAAACTCCTGGGGTGTATGACAGTCATAGAAACCAGAACATTACTGAAGAAATGTACAAATGCGTAAATTACACTTTCCTATTTATGAATGCTGGCAGCAGGAGGATTCAAAATGTATTCATTTTAATGAAGAGTGAAGTTCCACTTTAAAGCAGTAGTAAATAGCATCCAAAAAATAAAATCCCATGCAAGGTAAAGACATAATGTGCTAGTATGCATCACATACTAATACATTATGTAAAACTTGCTTTAAAATGAAGCTCTCCAGTGGTCTGTCACCACAGTAGAGGCTTCCATCTTCACCTGGTCTTTGTTCCAGGTTTGCAAGCTCTAAACATCTGGCTGAGCTGCAATGTCACTCCCACGCATGTGCACGGGAGTCTCCAGACACTGCACAATGCTCTGAAGGCATGGCACATGCATTGGTTCCAAGTCTCCTATACTGCATGTTTAGGGAAGATTCATTTTACCTATAGGTAAGCTTATAATGTGGCTTTACTACCACTTTAAACACAAAAAACAGAAGGAACTCTGCTTTAAAGTCAGCAGCTACCAAAACTGTAGTTGCTGACTATTAATACTCATCTGTCCCAGGCTCCAGCAACATGCTCTTTCCCTCTTCTCTGCCTGATGCTGGCTTCTCAGCTGTGGGCACCAGGCTGACAGCTTGTGGCTTCACAGCTAGGTGCCCACTGCATGTTAATCGCGCTTTGCATTCTGATTGGGCCGGCAGTCTTTGGGTAGCTGTGTATGTTCCCAGGAGACTGCAGGAGGAAAGAGGGGGTGGGGGCTGAACTTGCGGCCAACTGAGCCAGAAGTGGGAGCAGGTACCGGTCAAAACCAGGTATCCGCTCCCCCGCAAAAGGTGCCAAATATGGCAGTGGAGAGGGGAGGAGGCAAACATGCAGAGCTTCCAGTTTTGGGTGGAACTCTGCTTTAAGCTCTTAAACTCCTTTCCTGTGAAGGAGCAAAACATATTTGCTTTAAAATGGTTTAATGCATGCTTTCTTGGAATTTAATACCAGGACCTCACTACACAAGTATGAGTGACTGACATAAGAATGTTAGACTATGAAAAACAAAATGCGATATTGCAGCTCATTAGCTCTTGAATGTAGTGGTTGCTGTAATTGCTGCTTTTAAACACAGTACTCTTCTAAACATGAGTCTACTTTAATTTCTGTATAGTGGGTAGAAACATTTGCGTTTTGTGGCATGGTAGAGCAGCAGTAGGCACATGTCAGTTATGACATTTTGGGTGGACAGACTTAAAAAAAAAAAAAAAAAAAAAAAACTTAAATACCTCTTTCACCCCTTCCTGTCCAGGCCAATTTTCAGCAGTGGCACACTGATTACTCGGTCATGCAACACTGTACAAAATATATATTTTTTTTTTTTTTTTGAGGCAGAGCTTTCTTACCACTGGATTTCTTTTTGCTAAACACATTTTGAGCTCTTCATTTATGCCAATGTATTTTGCGCTGCATTTCTTTGGTAAAAATAACCCAAATCAGTATGGTAGTTAGTCTGTGGGAAAGTTGGTCTACAAACTATGGCAGAGTAACAGTACATCAGAACTGAAATTTTCAAATATATGCCAATCTCATTTCTTGAGGCCATAAAATGCTAAGTGCAAATTACCCTTTTTAGAAAGTAGACAGTCTGATATTTAGTGTGAGCAGCATAGTGTTTTGAAGTGATAGTTTTTACATACTGCCACCAGAACAGTACAGTGTCATGACTCTCATTTTACATACTGTCACCAGTGTCCTTGATCACCATACCAGTTCAGATTTTTAAGCTTTATTTTCTTTCACAACTGACTAGAGCAGTACTGATAACCATAGTATAATACACTACTTCCTTATAATCCCTGTTAAAAGCAAATGCTTATGAATGGCATCCATCCATTCATTGTGAAGGCTGTGATTGACCACAACTATCACATGGTATAGATGCAATGTGATAGCTGTGATTGGCCACAGTTATCACATGGTACATATTTAATTTGATCACTGACCAATTGCAGGTTTGCAGAATGAATACCTCATTCAGACATTAATTGTGTGCAACTGACATGTGATTGCTGTGATTAGTCAGATCACATGGTACCAGGGCTAGCCTGGTACATTGATCTATCATAAATAGCAGGTGACAGATCATCCTGCAGTATGGCCCTCCTTGGGGGGTGTGGCTGTTTTGCTGTCATTTGACAGGCTGTACAGGAAGCAATTATATAGTGAAAATTGTATTACTGTCTGTCTGAAACAAAATACTGAAACAAAATAGCAGTGTCAAGCCTGGTATTAGATGTGCTTTTGAATGTGTTTAGATGGCTTTATGTGCAGACTGACATTCTAATTATATTGTCTTTCAGATAAACGTGCATCAATGGACCTTGCAGCAGCTTTGTATTTTGGTTGAAAATAAAACATAAATGTACTGCTGTGTGTGTGTGTTGTTTTTTTTTTTTTTTTTTTTTTTTTTTTTTTTTTTTTTTCCCTCAGTTGGTGATGTGTTAAAGATAATGTGTTCTGTTAAAAAGGTTTACAAAGCAAACTCCGTGTACTTGCCCTAATCCTTTAGTGAGAATCCTGGCTGCTCTCCTTCCTGATCTCTGCATCTGTTAACTGGCCCACACTCCCCTCTAATACACAGCAGGTGATTGACAGCCTCAGATGTTGTTGTTTACTAATGAGGTTGTAGAGGGTATTTTTTTCATCTGCTCAGGTGTTGATTTACATTCTGCTCTGCTATGCATTTAGATGTAAACTGCCTCTTAGAAGCCAATAGATGCTATCTGATTTCTAAGCATTGAAAGACTCTGGAGGAGAGCTGCAGGAGGTATAGCTTTTGTGGGCAGATTTACATCCTCACTCTTTTCACCTGTTAAGCAGGTAAGTAAGGGTTTATTACCACCTTAATATTAAACACTCAAGCTTTCTTTTCTTTATGGCAAAAAGCAAATGCATTTCACCTAACTAACTTTCAGCTGCATTTCTCAGTGAGTTAAAGCAGTGTTTCTCCACCTATTTTTAGTCAAGGCACCCTCTAAAATTATGGACAGCTCTGAGGCACCCTTTTGCATTATGGACAGTCTTGAGGCACCCCATTCTAACATAAGAAATATTCTAATTTTATATAACGCAACAATGTCCACATATGCTTTATTCTGCCACAGCAAATACACTTTTGCACACTGGTACTGACTAGCATTCCAAAGTTTCTCTTCTCCCTCACTTTCTCTTCCTCACTAGGGTAATGTGACCCCCAGTGCTGATGGAGAGGGGCAGGGGTGGGTTGAACATGGATGATGTACAGGCAACCAGCATCTCTCAACTGATGCCATTGGTTGTCCGCATGCTGGTGGCTAGAAGGTTGTAGTGGTGCACAATGAAAACCATGGTTTTGTGCAACAGACGGGCTTGTTCCACCAGCTGGCTTGTATAAAGGTTTTGGGCAATTTTTAGACATTTTGCCAAGGCACCCAGGTTGAGAGGCTGTTAATGTATACTTGAAACATAACTAGACCCAAAAACAAACTTAATGGCTTAACAGGTGTGGTTGCTTAGTTTTTCAGCTGGTGATCAATCTGTAAAATACCACCTGTCTTGGGGTGGCTACATCTACTACTCCACTTTATGGAGGAGTAATGTAGCCACCGTTGGACAGCAGCATTATTGCCTTGCTCATTAAATGTAAAGTCCATCTAATAAGTTAGTTAAACTTGGGCTACTTTCACACTGATGCATATGGGTTTTGTGGTGCTCTTAACCACTTCCTGTCCGGCTGTTGTATATAAACGGCCGGACGGTGGCACTGCAGGGTCGGGTGGCCGTCTATAAACTGCCTCCCCGCACCCTGCTTGTGCGCGCTCCCTGGGAGCGCGCAGCACCGCGATCCGGTGCCTGCTGTGTCCTCTGGACACGTGAAACACCGATCATCGGACGGGACCTCTGTACGAGGTCCCGATCATGTGATCACTGATTGGCCAATCAGTGGTCACATGCAAAGTAGTAAGCAAGATGTCACTTGTGACATCATTCCTTACTACGTGTGAAATCTGTGAATGATCAGAGGTCACATGGTACAAGGCTATTCACAAAAGCCTTGTACCATGTGACAAGCTGTGACCAATCACAGCTCACGCAGTACTTATCAATGAGTGCAAGAATGCACACAGAGAGAGAAATGATTGCTTTTACACCCATATAGGATGTAAAAGCAATCGGTGTAAAAAAAAAAAAAAAAATCTTCATCACCCCCCACAAGTAGTACAGTGTCACCATGGTGACACTGTACTGCTAGGGTGACAGTATGTAAAAATAATATTAAAATGTTTAAAAAATTATAATTTTTGCTTATAAACTAATTTGGATTTTTTTTTTTTTTACTAAAAAGAACAGAATAAATTTTGGCTAAGATTTGTGATGAAATGTCCAAAAATTTTGAAAAATGTTTTTTATAAAATTTTGCAAATAAATAATTAATTTACATAGCAAAAAAATACAAATCCCAGTGGTGAATAAATACCACCAAAACAAAGCTTTATCTGTCTCAAAAAAAATGGTGAAAAAATTAATTTGGGTGCAGTGTTCCATGACCGCGCAATTGTCGTTCAAAGTGTGATAGCGCTAAAAGCTGAAAATTGCCCTGGTCAGGAAGGGGGTAAAAGTGTCCGGTCTGGAAGTGGTTAAAGGACATG